GGAGGGAGTTTACATTCAACCCTCAATGGCCATCATATCTTTTATTTTGTTAGAAGTTAGAACAACTAACTACACAAACATAGAGAGAAAAAAGGGCAGTGAAAAGCCTGCTGCTAAGTACAGCCATCTCCAACGACAACAAAAACCTGCAACCTGCATTGAGAGATATCAATCAGCACTACCAAATAACCGACCTTATATACACGCAAATGAAACGTTTTTCGTGTACAGTCACTTCCGCTACATTGTTCATTTGATACATCAGTTACTCCCGACTCCCAATTGAAAGTTCAAAGACCCACTAAAACTAATACAAGTATGATGGCCAACGGACACAACTCTAAAAGTTATGAACTTGATAGTTACTAACCAAACTAATAATTTGAACTATTTTATTGAAAAACAAAAGCCGCCCGAAAAGACTGCAGCCAAAGTAGATTACAGAGAATTACATATTTATACACCGGATTCCTAAAAGAAAGAATCGTATTGTTAGTTCAAGGGAAGGGAACCATTAAACATAGTCAAATTTCACACACCTCATCCCAAGAACTTTCTACCACTAAAAGCGTCCTCCTATTTCTCTCCCGCCAAATATCGTTTAGAACAAAAGAAACCGAATTGCATAAAAGCTCTTCCTTTTTCATAGAAAGGTGGACACAACAAAACTTCCAAAGAGAAGAGCAACTGCTGTCTAAAATCTCTCGAGGGTGTTGATTATATGGAGTTTGAGGTAATCCCATTGGAATTTGTGAATAAAATTTTTTCCATAAAAAAAAAATAGAGCCACAGCTTTTGTGGGAGGGTTGCTCTATATGAAAGGATAAATATGTCCTTTACGAAAGGTATAACTCTAGGTAAATATGTAACTATTTGAATGGCAATAGGTGGTTCTTTTCCAGTATTGAACATAGAAAAAATCCTCTCTCAACCTTCTCCTCTTTTGTTCTCGCTACGATTGCTCAAATACTAATGTTTGTTAATGCATTCATAGGTTAGTAATTTGTCCTATACTAGAATACAATGGTTCATCACCCCTTGAGCACCACAGAGGAACAAAATTGTCCAAAAAAATACTTCTATTGGGTTTGATTAGGTTTTGGATTAATCAAGTTATTGTTTTTAAATTTCTCCTCATTTTGCCCTAACAAATCCTTCCTACTAGTACTTCTACTACCTTTCAATTTTTCAAGCTCCAGCTTCAACAGCCAACAGTATAGACGAATCTTAAGGTATGGTTATTTAGGACAAGGTTAATTCTCTTTAAGGGCTTTGGAGGCTTCAATTCCTCTTTAGTTTCTAAGACTTCTTATTCTTTAGTCCAGATCTAACGTACACAAAAGTTCTTGGAAAGTTAAAAAAAAATCTTTCCACCCTCCATGTACGCAAAAAGTCCTTCGGGTACGCAAAGAGGTTTCATTTACCCATTTGTAATTTTGCAGATTTTGCAATTTCCCCAACACACACACCCACCCCCTTATTTTTGGTTCTCTCTAACCATAAGAGTCATCACACCTAGTTTCTTCAAAAAACATATCGGTTCTCAGACCGTTTAACAGCCTCTGAAGACACTCAGCTATCCGTAAAATTGTGACCAGTTGAATAGAGATAGAAGAAACAATCCTTCCTCTTTCCTCTAACTGAACTTTCAGCGAAAAAAGAATTTCCAAGAGATTCCGAGTGCAGTTCTTTTATCCTGGTGGATACCCCCCGGCCCCAAATTTTTGCAAGCCCTGACAGAGAGAATCATTAACTTTTTTGTTGTTCCAACTTTCAAACCAAAAGAAATTCAAAAATATCCTAAAGCGTCTAGTAACTTAGGGAAAAAAACTCAAACAAAAAACGTGCCTATTACAGAATTGAACCATGAACTTCCAGCTAAATGTAAGAAAGAGGGAGGGACTGTTAGGAACTATTGAGGGCCCAAATAGACAGTCCTAATGGTTGAGGGGCCAATTAGAAACTTTTTAAAGTACTAGAAATAAATAGACACGAAGTTAAGGGAGTTATTTGAACCAATATATTGATAAAAGCAAGAAGCTTAAGCATCAACATGAATTAGTAAGAAAGATAAAATTACCATGATTACTGCATGTTCCAGCTCATTGTGTAGGATGATAACTTCATAAGCTCCCCTCGTCCCCATCACTTTTTTCCATTCTTCTCTAGAAAAGAACTTTTTGCATTCTACCGAGTTCAATAACTTGTGCATGGAAATGTACAGAAACTGCCAAACAACAATGAAAAAGAAGATATACACTTTTGAAGCCAACATAAAAGAAAAACAAAATCAAAGTGTCCACAGCTCTACAAACCTGGAGTAAATTAACTCAAACGACATCGGTGCTGGGAGTAATACGCACGTACTTGACGCTATTATTACAATGTATCATATTATTTATTTATTCCACTCCATAACATAACAGGAAAAAAAAAACCTGCAATAGGCAGAAAAACAAAATCAGCATCTGAATATGAAGCAAAAAGTAAATAAGATTAATGTGGTTGATTATATTACCAAGTTCATAACCTTTCTTCACCCCCTTCCCTGGCATGCAAACACAAAAACTGATTGCAGAAGGATTACAAAGATCACCGGATACTTGCATGTATCGTCCTTTTAGATTAGCATGACCCGAGTTCAAGAATGACACACAAATCAAGAAACGAACATTAAGGTGTCTTCGAATCAATACGTCAGACAAACAAGAACTCCTTCTGTGGAAAACGGAGCCCCTACAGGCTCCAGCATCAGAACTCAAAATTCTCCCACAATGATCTCCAGTTCTTTTTATACATTTGACAGGATCATGACCTTGGATCACAAGTATTCCAGGTACATGTCTCGGAAGAACATCCATATACAAAAGCCTCTGCAGCGGATCATGCTTTCCTCAATTAGAGTCCTAAGTTTAAAATAAATGGCAAAGTAGTTTTACCCTGCCAACAGTGTTATATTCACCTAGCACCAGGACAACGATGTACAGAGAGATCCACTAAAGGCTGTAACCATGCTATCAACAGGGTTTTCGTGTAGTGAGGCTGGCCACTTCTCCTTCCCTCATCAATGCTTCTCAAAGCAATATACCAACAAGATGAGTCCCAAGTCGAAATTCATTTCTATAGTCTGCTCAGTTTTTTCAACGGCTAATAGCCTCCATTGCAATCCGTACTAGACCCAGTAGGCCTTCTACATCATGAAAGTTAAAATCAAGAGCCGTTTTTATGCAAGAGATACCCTCCCTATTGGTTGTTCCTCCCAAGCTTGCATTTGCAGCTGCAAACGCAATTCGCGATTTTCTTGATGCTTCCATGGCAGAATTTACATCCTGCGCCTGTAAATTACCGTTGTTGAAATCTTAATGCTCATACTATGTCGCTCAAGAAATGAATTGACTATTTCTAGCATGTAATGAAACGTGCTAAATATCGTTCAATAAAAAATGAAGAGATATGTAGGAAAAAGAAATTCCTTTTCAGTGACTATATGTGGTAATTTTTAATACCACCCTCCTTCAAAAGTGCACATTAACCCTATAAGCCCGCACAGCCCATTGAGAAAGATATGATTCTCTGATTTAATCTAAATATCCAGTATAAAATCTAAAGTATACATACATAGTTAAGCAACCGTGAAAAATTGGGACGGTGTTTAGGAGCAATGACATGGGACCCAGTAGCTTGGCTTGAACCGACACCCTTAGAAGGAGCAACTTTGTCGGCTGTGGTGGCGTTATTTAAGTTATCAACATCAGAGGCAGATGATGGAGATTCCCCTGATAAAAATGTATCACAAAACAAATATGAATAATGTTATTCGAGGCTTCTACACCTTTTAAAACAAGAGGAAGAACTCATAGTCATGATTAACAAAATCTAGTCTGTTGTTATACTGAAGCATTAGACCGAATTCTTTTTTTAGTAATGAAACATTAGACTGAATTCTGAAACACAGCGCAACACTCTTAACCATCATTTGGAGTATATTTTCTGTTCTAAACCGTTAAAATGATGGCACCAAATCTTAAGCAGGAAAGAAAATAGCAAAAGAAATAAATTTCCTCTGCACACTTTTAGTGAGTACCACCACACCTAAAAGGAAGCAGACTTTCATTCCATTTAATGACAAAAATCTAATTCGGTTCTCAAAAAAAAAAAAAAAAAAAAATCTAATTCAGCAACTCCACATTTTTAATTTAGTATTAATAAATAGGTCTTTACAAAAATAAAGTGAAAAATATGAGAACCCAACCATGAAAGATAGGAACTTTCAGAAAAATTAACAAATGGCGTGAGCATGTTTTAACTTTCAAATGTTCTGAGCGTCCAGAAATGTGATTATTATAAACAAATGAGAGGGAACTCTCTCTTTTCAACATATCTTTCCTCAGACAAAAGACTTTATGTACTTTGTCTGTTCATCCTTATTACCAGAAGGAGCCATTTGCAGAGCTGACTGCAACTCATGCCGATCTCTGATTGCATTGTTATGTGAAGAATAAATCACCTTCATGTATGCTACTTCCATGCATTTGTATGCCAAAGCAGCCGCAGCCATGTCTTTGATTTTCTCATATTCATGAGCACAAAACCTACAGATATTGAAAATTTTAGGCTTTGAATGTAAATTCAGAGCATCAAACAAAATAAAAGCAGCATACCGTTACCCCCTCATTTCCCTAATAAAAGAAGAGAAAAAATTGCAGGGAAGTGTAGGATAAGAAATCCCTATAAAGAAACTATACCATGACTTCCACCTCTTCATGTATTCACCATTCTCAACACAGTCAAAAGAACTCCTAAAATCTTTCATAATTGAAGCCCAAACTATTATGCATATACCTTTCCCACTAAGCATCTTAGCAAACTGGCTACGTACCAGTGATGCAAAGATCATTACATTTCCTTTAGAAAGTATAAGATGCATATCTCTGCCAATATTGTTTTATGATGGCAATCCATCCGGCAGCAGAAACCAGAAGATTGATATAATTTGCTCCACAAAAGGAAAAGGGGAATAATGAGAGATTAATAAGTGGGACACTTTATTTCAGAAAGTGGAGTGTTTTGTATATTGGTCACGTCGTATTCCAGATGCCAAGGTTTGGAAATTTAGATGCTTTGGGTACCTTACCGTGCAAATCCTTCGTCAACTACTTCGAAGTGGAACTATTAGCTTACCTAAAGCCATTTCCATCTAATTTCCAAAACCAAGACCCCCTCAAATCAGAGCAACCCTCTGTCTTGGAAAGACACATGGATCAATGATGAGCCTTTATGCCACACTTACCCTCTCCTTTTTGCTCTACATACCAGGAAACTTGGTCATGTTCGGGATTTCTGGTATTTAGAACCAATTCTTGGGATCTAAGCTATCATAGAAACTTCAAGGATGCAGAGATTGTTGAGCTGGCAGCTCTCCTACACTGCCTTTCCTCACAGAGGCCTTCACCGAATAGGGACTCCATTGCTTGGAGATTGGCATCCCATGGATCATGCACCATCAGTTCTCTCATCAAAGACCTCCAAAGTAACAACTCATCATCTCCCCCTCCAGATTTGTACAAAGCCATTTGGAAGGACTCCTACCCAAAGAAGATTAAATTCTTCCTTTGGGAAACTAGACTACAAGCTCTAACTACACACGACAAACTACAGCGACGTATGCCTTCTGTGGCCTTATCTCCACATCGGTGTCCTCTTTGCAAACAGCACAGTGAATCCATTGGGCATGTTTTCCTCACTTGCCCCTACACAACAGCCCTTTGGAACAAAATTTTATCCCTCTTTGGATGGTCGGTCGCCTCCCCACATATATGTCACTCCTGCTTGCTTTGACTCTTGCTGGCCATCCTTTTAGGAAACAAAAAGCTAGCCTTTGGAGCCACTTCATACAGGCTCTTCTATGGACTACATGGACTGAATAGAACCGCCGAATCTTTCAAGCATTGGAATGCACTCCACATGCCACTTTTGAATCCATTGTATTTTTGGTCATTACTTGGTGTAATTGCTCCCCCTCTTTCACTCTTATAGCTTCACCTCCATGTTATCAAATTGGAGAGCCTTTTTGTAACCCTCTTGTGGGTCTTCATTCTTTTTTGTACTCCTCCTCTTTTTCATCATATCAAAGAAATTGTTTCATTTCAAAAAAAATAAAAAATAAAAAATTTTCCTTGCTCTTTTGGGACCGAGGCAGGATATTGACAGAAAAGGAATCCAGCCACCACTTTTTGTGCTCATGGACAATAAGAATGGCAGAATATCTCTTTTTCAGCGGCCAGTCTTCTACCTATACTTGATCGTCCTTGTCCCGGATGTTTGATTTCAGGTTTACATCCAATATGCAGGGTTCAACAATCCCACGTAGGGATGTTAGAATCTGCACCCAACCCAACCTTGTGATAGTAATTGAGTCATCTATTCATTCAGGTTACGTGTGTGCATATATTATATCAAGAAAATTAATAATTCGAAGTCTTAAATTGATTGTAAAGTTTTATGAAGAGTAAAGAAGTCCAAGAAGTTAAATGAAACAACACATAAACTCAATACTTGTATCCCCAGTAAAAAATATCATTTCTTAAATTAATGAATTTTAATTGGTTTGGGCTAACGAAAAGTGAAAACTATTTTTTATTTAGATAACTGCAGACTAAGAAGAGTCAAACAAGTTCAATTTATTTGAACCAAAATCAACCCAAAAAGAATTATTGACTGTCAATTATTATGAGTTGCATTTTCTTCTTAACACTCCTAGTTCCATGCTCAATTATACTCAGTGATGGCCACCTTTGGTTGGCAAAGCCAACATCTTACGGATTAAAATATGATCTAGTCTAGGCCACATGTTCAGGAGTTCTGGTTCGTAGTAAATATAAACAAAAATCCTGGACTAGGTTACTCTCAAGCTGCTGGCTGCTAGATGGAGTTATTTGGCAAATAGTTTTGCAGTTACTCCCTTTTTTGATTAATGGCAATTGCAAGCCTTTTTGCAATTTCCTTTTAACTTTTAATGTAATGTTTGGGAAGATGTCTTGCTCCTCCTCTTAACCTCGGTACATACTTCTTCTCAAAGAAACAGAAGTAAATAATTAAGGACTTCTCCTGCTCCTGTATTCAGAGTACTATTGAGGTAGAAGCAAGGAGAAGGGTTTCTCCCTTTACTCCTAATGCTCACTGTAACTGATATCCCCAATGCCACCAACGAACAAAATAAAGCATTTCATCAAGAACATGAAAAAGAGTCCAGGGATTAAATATTCTTTTCCCCTAAACCAGGATTTAAAGATGTTGCATAACTACTAGCAGGAGACAAAAACACAAGCATCCCTATTTCGACTTACTCGCATAGTTTTGCAGTGCTACTATATATTTGCATTGATTGAATAATCTCACTATGTTTGGCAGCCTCGTTGTTGGACGGCTCAAGCAAAGAGGCTCCATAGAGAAACTTCAAAGCTGCTTGGAAATAAAACCCAATGCTCTCAAGATTGGACCCAGAATTCTGAGAAATTAAAAGAGTTAGAATACAAAGAACAGGAAAACCAAAACCAGATCGATAATATAAGAATTTAAAGACCTTAAAACGGTCGGCAAGATGTTTTAAATCTTTAGCTTCTTTCATAGCTTTGGTAGCAGCCTGGTTGGAGGAATCCCTTCTAGCTGGACTTGGCGCATCATTGGGCACCCGCCCATTGGGGGTGGAATGTCTTGAGCCATTGGTCTGAGTTTCCTTTTGACGATTCTTAATATGCTTTTTCCCCTTTGAAGCGTCATTGCTTTCTGAAGCATCTAATTGCAAAATATCAGTTGCATTTCCTTTTCCACCCCCTGCTGAAGGGGGGTAATGCGGCATTTGATTTCGAAATTCTCCTGAAGTTGGTAATGGTACCGGTGTACTTTTTCCAGAAACTTTTTCCAATTGATCATTTTTCTGAAAAAGGGACCTCTTTGAAGCAGTACCATTGCAATCCTGCTGCTGATTCTTCCTCGCAGACAAAACCATAATCTCTTTGGAAGTGCTATCTACCATAGATTCTGGACCTTCATGCCTGACAAAATTTGATTCACTATCTCTTTTACCCCTCTCAATGGACAGTTTTCCTGAACCATCCTTTCTTCCATCTCCAGATTTGATCCTATGATTTTCCTGCACCCTGTGTTTACCATTCTTAACCTTCAAATCCGAATGAGGAGGAGACCTTCCTCGCAAATCATTATGGGAATAAGGAACTTTGTCCTTATCCATGCCCATTTCTGGACAGTAGCCCCCACTCCTGTCCTTCAACTGTGAAGATAAATCCTTTCCACATTTAACTGGATATGTCTCATTACCCCTATATCGCATTTCAGTTGGTCTATCTTCATTCTGAACTTGTTCTAGACCCCATGGTTTACAAGGATGCTGATGATCAGTTCCTGAATTGCCAAGACTACCATTTGGGAGGTCGCAATTTGGGGCATCAGAAGCAGACTTCTCCTTTGCTTTAGCCTTTTTTCCTGACATATTACTAGCCTCTTTGTTCAACGTATCAATCAAGGGGGACTTTGAAGGCCTATGATGGGCCAGAACAGACTTCTTCTTGCTACCAGTCCCAGAGCGATCGCTACCACCATCATCTTCTCCATCTGAGCATCTCGTACGACCAGCATCCAGAAAATCCTTACCATCCCTAGATGACCGCAAATGCTTATCTCGGTTAGGGATTCTCATCGGCAATGAAGAAACAGATTCTACTGGTGATCCTTTCATCTCCTGGAGGCTGGATTTAGTTTTATGCGAACCAGATATCTTGGAAGAACTTGAAGTGGCTACAAGAGAAGGCTGTATCACTCCTAAATCCCTTTTCAAAGAATCGGCACCATCCAAACTACGATGAGAAAGAGAGCTGCCAACATCTTGTCCAAGTGGCCAATTCTTAGAATGGGAGCCTTTTTTATCTTTTCTAGCACTGGATTCTTTACCTGGAGGCTTAGATGGCTTAGCCTTTTTCTCGTTCCTATGGTCATTGTCACTCAACTCCGTAACAGGACCTCTCTTTTGCGGGAGATGGCCATAACCATTGAGGGACCCAGTATTGATTTGAATATCTGGGGATGCTTTAACTTTTTTCTTCTTTGAATTGCTTTTGGTACTACCATTTCCTCCTCCCAGGGAATCATCATCCAAGGCACCCAGCAGTTTGTTTTCTTTTTTATCATTGGGTACTCGGTGGGTAACATCCATGTTATATTTTGAGTCCTTAGAAGAATGGTCAATATTTTTATACTTATTATTCCCACCTGATGCAGAAGGAAATCCAATGTTCAAGTTTGGGCCAACCCTCACAACAGACCCACTGTGCACTGATATCTGGTCTTCATCAATCAAATCCAGACCATCAGTTCTGACTTTCTTAGAAGGTCTAGGGTAATCTTGTTCTTTATCTTTTCTGTGTTTAGTCTTTAAAATCTTGGTAGCACCTGTGCAAATTATTTATCCAAAAGTGAGATTCCAAATGTCAAGTAAGTAGAGCAACAGAACTCAGCGATAAAAAGAATAAAGAAACCCGTACCCCCATCAGATAAGATATCAACAGATTCCTGCTTCTCTTTGTGCTTATGCCTGTGCTTCTCCACAGGCATATCACCGGCCTTATTTAAATGCCGAAAATTAGCTTCATCTCCAATAGGCAACTGGTTCACGTCATCTAAACTCCTGCTTTTCATGGTTCCTTCATTCTTCTTTGAGTTTGATAGCTGAGGGGCATCCCCTTTAAGTGTTGTAATCGGTCTCTCTTTTCCTCCATGCTTCTTCTTTCCACCACCAGGCACAGCATGAAAATCATAATGACGATAATTTTGCTCAGATTGCCGAGCATTAGCCACTCCTGGCACAACTCCACTCAGGTTACTGCAAATATTACCCTCAGGAACAGCAGGCACTAGGTACCTTGCCCTTAAAGCATTTGTTGTCTCCTCCTCACTAAAACCACATTGGTTCATTCCAGGCCTACAGATTTCATAAAGAAAATAACTTTCAGAGAGAGGCAAATAACTATCTTTCTGGCATATAAACTCTATTAATAGGTTAAAGGTCATATAGATAATAGATCTAATATAGTAACCCTCTTTAAACATTTTTCCGTAATAGACAAGAATTGCAGCTAGATTCGAACTTACAGCCAGTCAAGCATGCTGCAAAGCCACTTCTCAGGTAGGTCAGCAGGATTTGTGCCCAATGGAAGAAGCCGCCATGTTTGACACCTGTCACAACAAACCCAGTCCTCTTGTGCAGATACATTATCCCCTGCAGCAGGAGCAGCAGATACTGTCCCACTTGCAAGGTTCATGACTACTGGAAATGCTTTTGGTGCCAATGACTTGCTAGTTTTCTCAACAGCTAATCTCTCCTTTGATGAAGGAACAGCAGGTGTTGGTTTTTCAAATACATCAGAGTGATTTAGTTGGCCCTCAAAAGGAACCTCTGATGTATCTAATAGATTATCGTCGTCTTCCAATTCTCCAAAGAACTCTAGGTACCTATCCTTAGATTTTCTGAAGTCCTTCGGTGGCTTGTGGTCTTCAATTTCAGGTCTGGTTGAAATATTGTCTGCTTTATTAATACTCTTAGTTTTGGAACCTGAGGAGCCAGACTTCATACTACGTTTTGATACTTCTCCATTGGGCATACAGTCAGCTGGACCAAACTTCGACTTCTTTTTTCCCTCAATTGAAGGATCCTTTCCTGAAGTATATTTCATGTTATTATGGACGTGTAGAGCGTTTTTATGACTGGCATTACGCTTGAGAGGATCTATTTGATCACCATTTGAAGTATTCTTCCCCTTTGAGCAGGCTTCAACCAAGTCAATAGTTTTCTCCCTCTTGCTTTCCCCAGATTTTTTTGCAGAAGCTGAAATATCGTCAAAAATATTGGCTTTCTTTAGCTCCCTAACCTTTCCAGATGAACCATTAGTTTGCTTCTCATCCTCTATAGTAAATGGAGGCTCTACTAGGCCCTCTTCCAGTTGATCAAAAGAATGCCTGCCCCTCGCCACAACTTTATCTGCCTCCATAAATGTTTCAGATGGCCTATTCATACTCTTTGTAGTCTCACCTGCAATGGTATATGAATTTCCTAGAATTGGAAGCTTCAACGCATTAGAAACAAGCTCCTCACAAGCTACTGTATCAACTTCTGAATTCTTTTTTGATGTATTTGGGCCATTCATAAAATCCTTTCTATTCGTGTTCTTTGATTCGGACAAGAAGCCATTTACATCTTTTGACATTTTCTTCTCAACTGACATTTGAGAACCTTTCAAAGAAGACCCCCCTGCCAACTGGCGATCCTGATTGTACTGTTGGACACGAATAGATTTGTTATCTCTTGCAGGCTTCCCCATCTGAGTTAGATGAATAAGATCATCAGGTAGAGGTGACAGCAAGAGACCTCCATGAACTGGAAATGATGTCATCATCTGCTCCACGAATTAATTGCATTTTGATCACTGAGGCACATTATAGCAGTAAAGAAAAGAAATACGGTAAACAGAGGAGGAGAAACTATGAGCAAGTTCTAGCAGATAAATTACCTGAAGAATGCTAGTTGGAGATTCAAACGGGCCATCCTGAAGCTCACGAGAGATCCCTTCACTTTCTGAGGGGCTGTCATCTAATGATGAAGATGGAGAAACATCTAGGCCAAGACCACTATAGATTGCATCATTTTTTCTTGTCGACAGGCTATCAGAACCCACTTTAATTCGCACCTTCAGCGATTTTTGGTCCGAAGAAGTAGTAGATTTATTCTTCACACATCCATAAGCAGAAGCAAGCTCTTCAACATGCTGGAAAGGCATGCATACTTCTTGCTTGGACGATTCATTCAGATTCGGACCTTTGATTATGGGCAGTGATGTAGAACTAGTAGAAGGGGGTCCAGGTCTTACTGACTGAGGTGTAGTCGAAGAAACAACAGAGTTATTATGGCCAGCCTGCGTCGGAACACGTCTTTGATACTCAATAAGGCCATCATTCATGACAACATTAAAAACTGGCCTCTCAAAAGTTATCAAAAAAGAAAGAAAGAAAGAAAATAAATTTACCTCCTGTTGAAAATTATTGGGAGATCTGGACGTGCTGCAATTATGACCTTTTGGTGGAGTCCTTGTATGAGACCAAACTGGAGACCGTTGATAGGAAGGCAAAAATGAACCATATCCACCAAATTTTGCCCCTGTAGTAAGCATATTAGCCTCCAAATTTTTACTACAGAAAAGAAAACTAAAGCTAATGTATCACAGGAACAAAGAAATGCCATCTTTCTACTTTATTTCAACTTACCTAAATTTTCTGCAGAGACTCCACCTTCAAAATCTTTCTGGAAGTGTCCCAGAACATGTTGAAGTTTCACGTCCTAAAGATCAAGCAGTTAAAATACCCTCAAACACATATAATAGACATTAAAAGACATATTGAGATCTTGGTCGAAGTGGCATGGTAAAAAAAAAGATTATCTATCCGGGGGATGAGTTAAACGTGACTAATGTTATTGTCTGATAAGGAATGATCATTATACTAAACCCATTGCCTTACAATCACAGCAAATAAATTCATTGCATCAACAACAATTTCTTAAGCATCGCATAGCATACATATTCTAGAATGTCCACTCAACTTCTCAGGTAACTATAACCCATTAAGGTATTAACTTCAGGACTTAACTTCCAATTCAATTAAGAGATCCAACACAGAAAGAATTTTTCCCTATACACGAAGAAATAACAGTCAAAATTCTTCCTTTGCCATGAATGGATCAAGTGGCCGGGAAGAGCTCCTTGGATCATTTGCTACCACTGACAAAGAGGACAGCAACCCATACTTAAATTACATCTCCTAAAAACAATCATTCTTCCCTGACATTTTTCTCTCATTCACTTTGGCCTAACTGTAACTATGAGCTGAAAACACATTGACTACAGAAGCATTAAAAAAGAAAAGAACAACTTTTTTAGAACTTAGAGCTAAAGACATAATAAAACCCAGAATTCCATAGTATCTCAGACTGGATCTAATTCACCACAAGAGGTCAAATCGAGAATCTAGAAGCTGCAATAGAAAAACAAGAAACACAGAAGGCTTACGATGTAGG